AAAAATTGATCGTTTAATTTCCGGACCATCATCCGGACCATCATCCGAACCCAACCTGGTACACATTTTCTGGGTGCAATTTTGTGGATCAAAATGTTATTACGTCATATATAAAATCAAAAATAACCCATTTTAGATGTGACATCTCGTGTGACGAGTAAAAGAATTGAATTGTGTAACGATCTTTATAACATGAACTTTCTCCCATATCACAATGAACAGTGGCTTATCAAGTTAACCCAACAGACACGCGAACGCGTATTTGATTAAGTCTAGACGAGAGTTTACTAAGGAAGTCACTGTCACGACGTTACTATGCATATTAAACAGGTGTCAATAACAAAGTGCTACCTCAAAAATTGCTCCTTTTGAAGAAGGCAACTTTATTAAAACTTTACCTGTTCGCAGATCATTATTCAGGGATTCAAGTCTTATAAAGATCAAACTATAATAGAACCATTTAGCCCAAGACATAATGTTGTTGGTGCGTTTAATACAGAGTTTGAATTTTCTGTACTTAATAGAAAATATTTTAATTATATATCTTTATATAAAATTAGTCGGAAGGAATGGTTCCGGCAAAAGTAATTTTTTCGCCGGTAAGATACCCTGAAGTTTAATGGTTAAATATAACTAAACATGATCTTAATATTTATTACTTTACTTTCGTTATAAATCTATATCAGCAATTCGATTTGTTTTGAGTGATGCGTACACTAATATGAGTAAGGAGGAACGCTTAGCGCTTCTTCATGTGGGTTATTTTTATTTCAAGAAATGTCAAATTTGCCTATTAAGACTATTAAATAAAAGATTTGATTAATTTGATAGGAAGGAACAGGGCCGGCCACCATGTCCGCTTATGTGGAAATAATATTTGATAATAGTGATAATCGATTTCCAGTTAGTGATTTTTAATATCAACTGTGCTTACTCGAATGGATTTATGGTTTTTCAATGGAATATTTACTGTCTTGATTTTTTTGAAAATTTAACTTTTACCTATCCTAATGTCATTATTGCTGAATTTATTTCGTAGACGGGTAAA